CCTTATTATCTATTGAGAAAGAGGTAAAATTGCGTCAAATGATCAGTTTATATGATGTCCACCAGTTTTCCAAAATAAAATAATAATATAAGCACCCAACTTCCAGAGCGCAAACTCTTGCAGCATGTTCTCAACTGTAATGCCTTTTTTAACAAATCATGTTTGGATATCGGCATTTTTTTGATGAACATGACTTGGATATTTTGGTATCAGGTTGACGTGATTTACCTCATAAATATGAGAACCGGTGTTAATCCCACTGTCATTGACAAGGTTATGCGACTGAAAACAAAATTGTCTCTAAAATCTCGATGATAATTTTAGATCGTTGACGTTTAGTAGCACCTTGCTTTTCGAGTTACATCATAACATTTCATTAGAAGGAATTGGATTGCATTAAAACTGTTTGGAGGGAGGGGGGTGTTATGGCAAAACGAAAAGTCTCATAATCTGAAATACCAAGTCGACTAAATGACCACCGTTTTACTTCATTTATTACACAATCATAATTGTCTCCCTCGCATATCACCGCCTCAAGCTGGATGATCCACAAACAATAAAAAAATTCTGCACAGCCTTTTGAAGTATACTCTTATCACTTCTTAGCTATTAAGATCCAGTAAGCCCTTCAAAGCTGTGTTTAAATTTTTGAAACGATTTTAATGAGCTAACAGCAAATCTTGGAATAATTCAAATCGTAAAAGCACTATTCTCCTCAATGACCATAACAATGGAAAGCAGCACTCCTTTGTCCCCTGAAAAGATGACAATATTCCGTTCTTCTTTTCATTGTCTTTTTGTCATTTTTTCAATATCCATCCGGCGTTTGAGAGCAGGAACAACCCGAGCTGCTGTTTGCACGATTAAGCTATTTCTTTTCATCATACAATATAATCCCGTCTTTTTGGGAACAACGTGAAGAAATTTTGATATGAAGCTCTGAACGATTATCCTCAACTCACAACGACTATAATTAGGGCAATGACGCCGTCCAGGCAACCAACTTAATATCCTCGTGCAAATATTCAACTTTTTCACTCGAAGCAGAAAATTTCTTTTTTCGAGCCGCCCCGTTTTAAGTGAGCGTTACTGATGCTGGTCCTATGACTACACCAATTTCTAAATAGCTCGTTAGGATATTATTGTATGTTAAAAAGATAGCAGACTAATTACACGGTGCGGTATTCTATGCGGAGCGTTTCCAACCCAAACTTACGGCCCCATTGCTTTTCAAAACCCCAGCAATAAATCTGTAGCCTGTGATCTCCGGAGCTGATTTCATCTGGAAATGTAAATTCCATCACAATCTTAGGTAAAATGGGAGACCGGTTAATTGAATCCCAAGACCTTAAGACCCCAGCAGTTGATTTGAAATGCAGATTTTTTCATTTCAGCGTCGGTCAGGTAATAATTACAATGTGTTAGTCGCACATCACAAAGATGGCTTCGTTATCAAACGCTACATGTAAGTGAAATTGAAAAAAAAAAGATATAAGCAAAAAGCGTCATATCTTTTATTTTCTTCTCAATATCTTCAAAAGGGCCGCATTTAAAATGTTATTTCTTAAATGAATGCAATGTATCTTTTAAAGGTTTTTTTAGCAGAATTGGAACAACTAATGCTTAACTAGTTATTTCATGTTAAGATTTCTGGGATATTTACAATATTGCTCCTTCTCTTTTTTTTCTACAAAATCCATTAGACCGAGTAACTTAATTTTTTCAACTCAACGTTTCTTTCTTTGTCGCTGTCGCTGCTTTCTATCAAAAGATCAAATTCGATAAATCTGCTGACTGGTTTATTCACGAATCCCCCTTCCTCTCCTCCCCGTCCTCTCCGCCCCCTCCTCTCCGCCCTGTCCTCACCAAGACACTTCTTAACTAACGTCACGAAAATAATGTTGATCAATCTAATAAAATATTATTTCATATCTATTTGATTATTTGTAGTTTAAGCATTATAACGTTTTCTATATCATGAATAATTTCTGGTTCAAGAAAGCAAAGTAATAATGAGTATTGAGATCACAATTTTACTAAAATAGCTTCCTTAATATCTAACATTAGGTGGAACTTGTTTTAAATTTCTACATTACTCACGGATTTTTTTCTTCGTTTCCGTTTTCGATAATTCTCAAGAATTTTAACTTTTATCTTGTGGGTGTACAATTATCTTAGCGCTTTTTCTCTTCGGTACCAGTTTTAAATAAACTCATTTTGAGCAGATCAAATGTTTGAAAGGATATCGAATTCAACAACCTCTGGACCTGCGGAATTCCGAGCGACGCTTTTGTCAACATACAGAAAAGTTTAATTGGTTCCCTTGCTGTCTGCAACCGGAGACCAACATCATCAAAAATAACAGGTGGAAACGCTGTCGCCAATCACAGGCGCTATTAATCACTAACCCTTAGAGCACCCTGCGTCCCCCGTCCACCTTGCTGTGCCTCTCATACGAGAGAGAGAGAGAGAGGAGAGAGAGAGAGAGTGAGGAGAGGGAGAGGCTCAGCGGGGAGGGCTTCATTTACTTTAGAGCTTGTCATATATCTTGTCATATACGATAGACAGAGAAACTTATTCTTTGTGCTTTACAACAACACAAGTTTTAAAAAACACACGTGTAAAAGAAAATTGAGGGAAAGTAAAGATGACACATGGGTCCCGACACAATAGAAACTGGGCAGTGAATGTTGTTTGCACTCAGACATTCGTCCCATACAAATCTTATGTCAAATCTTCCTCTATATAGTACACTAGACTGTAGATTCGCCATATCAATATTGTGTTTTAATGTAGACACTGAATATTTTAACCGTACTCTCTTTGATCTGCATTTTTGACAGCCAATTAACCCGTCATATGCTTTTTTTATTCCATCCTGGTGGCAGACCCTGTCATCGAGGTTGATTAAAAAGCATCGGATACTATTTCCCATCAGAGAGATGACATTTACAGAAAGAATGAGGGGCCCTTGTTAGTTCGACATGGAAGTCACGCCGCTGGTCAAAGATCGGCATGGAAGAAATTTGTCAATGTCCGTCAAATTTATTTGGTTTGGGGTGTGTTGATGCCCGCCGCATCCTTTTAAGAGGAACGGTAAAGTCGGACTGGTTAGCTGTCGTTTGTCAGTTTTAAGGAAAAAATCCGGTTTATAGTCATATTTTGGCAGATGCTAAATGAGAAAGATTTCATTTTTAGAACTAATTATGAACAATATGTCCGAAAGACCAGATCTTTGTTAATTTAAAGAAAAAAAAGAGTTTCAACCTTTTTCACACACAACTGTCTGTAAAATTGATCATACCATACCATACTACTTTTTTATTCATAAAACATAAACTAGATCAAAGACTCAAGTAAAATTAGAAAAGATATATCCCCTTCATAAAATACTCTCTTAAATATTGATGTGGTCTTATCATAAATTCCATTCATTTTAATTAAACTCAAATAGTGAAAATTTGTGTTTTATAAAGTTCCATATTGATAGTGCTCTTTGAGTATATAATTTGGTTTCCCTCACAAGTCTTCTGATAAGATCTACGAAGAGAAACAATTCCATTATTTTGCAATTTGCAATACTTTATTGCTCCATTATAAAATCTTAATTTAAGTCCCGTTCTCCATATTCATTTCGTGTATCGATATTTTGCATTAATGCTTTATATCCGAACGCCGACGTAAACCTGATCATCTTAGACTTTTTTATCTCCGACAGTATTTTCACGAAGTTTTCCGGGTTAGGCGAGGGGTCAGCGAACCTACATGCAGTCTTAATATAACAGGTCAATCGACTCTTCAAGGGTCACAACACATGATAAACAACTTCAATTAATCGAAAATACCACGAACCTCTGGCATTCAAATTGCTGCGTTCAGAGAAGGGTGCTTAGTTTGATGGATGTACAGCGCAGTTAATCGACGGCAGCTTCAATATTCTTTACATCCCAGATAAATATGAGAGGTATCTCAACCAGTTAAGTCAAAAAATGATAGGAGATAAGGGGGCGTTGGTGGTCATTATGAATGGTGCGTTTACTGACAGTCCTGCATACATTTTAGTCTTGATATTAAAGAGGGAATATTTGGGCCCAGAATATTTTGTGTTTCCCTTCTCTTTATCACAGTTATTAAGGATTTGGACGGAATGCCCCTATTGCTTACCCTGAGAAATAAATCACACACGTTCTTTGCACTGTTAAACTGTGCAGTGTATTAAGATGCAAACACTGCTTTATTAAGGCTACACTACATCATCAGATCGACAAAGTTTAGTTTCCACCAAAGGACATGTGCATATTATTATACATGTAGGCCTACCTTATGAAAATTTAAAAAGTTTTTAAAAATTTATGTATCCAGTTTTTTAGATCCTCCGCATTCCAATATATTTCATGTTATCTTGTTTTGCTAACTTTTAATGTTGTATTTCCTGCTCAAACTTGAAACTGGAATTAGTTCTCAGAGTTCAAGACTTAGCGCCTGTGACACAAATTGTCTTCAAAGCATCAATGCGATTTCTCTTTAGTACACAAAAAAAAAAAAAAAAAAAAAAAAAAAAACGTTTCGTTTTCATTTGTGAAGACATTGCTAGAGACTACAAGCATAACCAATATCAGCAAATATACTTAAAATTGTTTCAAGAACGGAATTTTTTTAGCTATAAATTTGCATTATGGTCACATTATTTTCGTATTCATTGTATTGTACATTATCACAATTTCTGTGCATTTGTTTGGTGCATTGATTACAAAAAAGTCCATATAAACATACATGTACTTGTAAATATACATGCTGCTGTTTGTAACTGCTAATGTTGAAGTTTATTTCTTGAAAATCCACTACATACGTAGTTTTAATAGTTGGTGCAGTGTAAGTTGGTACAGTACAGTGTGAGTATGTTGTGTTCGTCTTAGAACTTAGTGTTGCTCTTGTCTTGACAAAATAACTAACCAGTTTGTGAACATATCGGAGGATTGTTACTTTCATTTGTAGTATACTTCCGGCAGGATGTCACGTTCCTGAATTATAAATATGTTCCTTAATTTGACGTAGACAGATATGTATTTTGTAAACATATGGGCACTTTTTATCATTGCTGCCTCACAATGTTTGCCCCTGAATGCACTTCACGTGAAAGGAAGATGGAGAAGTACGGAATTCTACAAATTCTTTGCCAAGTTTGGCTTTCAGCAAACCGACGCTCACCATCAAGTGGACACTCAGGGGTACATCTACGGTAACATCACCTCCAACAACAATGTAACAACACCTCTAACCTTCGTCGTTGTCGACGGGGAATATTTCGTTGATTATTATACCAACCGGACTGTAATTCCCAGAGAAAAGGCATGTCCTCTTATGTTCAAGAAGATCGAGACCAAAGCTTGGGATTACAGCTGTCACCCGGACGGCAAGGAGGATTACCTGAGGAAGATACCGTGTGTAGCAGGCAGCCTCTGTGCTGAGGAGGATGACCCAGGGATAGTGGTGGATGGATATCAGTTTACATTCAGTGTACAGGACAAAATACAACCAAGGTAATTAGTGTAGGTAGTAGAGTAAGCACATTGTTGCAAAGCGGGCTTCTTTAGGTAGGCAATCTGAATTAGGTAAGGCCCCATTTCCATAGACACCATTGGTATACGTAGATTGATCCAACTCTATCGGGACTCTCACTGAGTGTAATCAGCTTAACTTAATGACACGCCTCCTGTTGTTTCCTAATATACTGATATAATCACCAGATTTTCTGTATTCTCCTCAACACTAGAAGGAGGGGTATCATGCAGTTAAGCTGATTGCACTCAGCAAGAATCCCTGCAAAGCTGGATTGATCTACAAAGCCCAGTGGTGGCTATGGGAATGGCATCTAGAAACTGCACACCCTTTGATGTCTGCCATTAACAGGCCAATGTGTGAATGTAAGAAGTTGGTCAAGGATTGTTTCCTGACAAAGTACAAACCTGTGTTTAAGATCACCATGGCCCTATGGGCATCTTCCATTGTGTGCACCATTTTGTGCAGAAGTTCGTTTCTGGGTGGGATACATAATATTTCATTCTTCTCTCATTCAGTTTACAGTAAGGGAAGCAGATCAGTTTTTTGGTTTAAAAAATGACTAGCTGGAACAAAACTGAAATATGTTATAAATTACTGTGATACAGTTGTGTTGGAGTAAGTTAATGATCATCTGTCATTGCTGTAAATATATGCTATATCATATTATATAGCTCATCTTTATATTTCTAGGTTCTGGTTCACAAGTGGAGCCGCCTGTTACTTAAACTCCTCCAGCTGTATCTGGACTCACAACGAAGACCAAGACATCTACATTGACTTTGACATCTGGTTTGTCAATGGGAATCCCTACACAAAACACTTCAATCCATTTGAGCATCAATTTTCCTTTGAGATGCATGATGTGGTGGAAATCCACCTGGTGTTCTTTCTTCTCTACTTAATCCTGGTCCCCATCCAAGTCAAGGCTCTCCTTAGTCAATCCCACCCAATAACAAAGTTGTTAACAGTCTGCATGACGATGGAATTTCTTGGAGCTTTCTGCAATGTTGTTCATGTGATAAAATTTGCTTATGACGGAGAGGGAGAAGAAGTGATGAAACATATAGGCAACTTCATTGACATGGTGGGCCAGTGTATGCTGGTCTTGTTGTTGTTACTTATAGCCAAAGGATGGGCAATCACACGGACAGAACTCACACATAGAAAACTGCTGTTTGGTATCTGGGGAGCATATGCACTCGCTAATATGTTTTTATTTATATGGAACTTGGTAAGTATGATAAATATTTCTTTTATTAACATTAAGCATTATATTCATTATAAATGTACTGATCCATTTCAAGACACGTGCTAACATGTAATTATACTAGAGATATTCTACTCCCTTTAACAAATTCTCCCCAAGTTTTGTTCCTGCTGTCTTGTTAAGTTAATTAAGATGACTTCTTACTCAGTACTTAATAGCACTATTAAGTTGTCTATCTCTCAAAGTGGACTAGTTTTGTTAAGTATACTACTCGGTGTGAAAGAGGCATTACACAGAGGCTGGTTGGGGATGTAGTTATGATGAATTATCCTCTCACTGTGTATTTGCATTATTAATGAGTGGTTTTCAACACATTTTTCAAGTGTTTGTCAAGGAAGAAAACAGCAATGCAGGAAAAAAATATGTCAATATTTGCTCATTGGCACCGTATATCTCATTTCATATATCTCATGGCCCTTGTATCTCATTTTAATTTCTATGATAACTATTTGAATCTGGCAAAATGAGATCCATCATCTTGATAAATACTGGTGTGTTGACTTAAGACATACTGAATTATTCACTGACCTGTGGAATGTTTGATGATATTTATATCAGGGTTTCTTTTATATTGTTAATATTGTCAAAATCAAAGCAGTAAGATGAAGTCTGCTGTTTTTATTGTAAACCAATGTAAAAAATCATGTTGTAGGTTTGTTTTAGATTGACTTCCTAGAATCTGATTTAGGATTGTGTCACTGGGGACTTGCCCTACTTCTGTTTTTTCATAATTTTCAAAAGAGCAGATGATCAATACCATGTGCATCGCTAGTATATATATCAGAGGCAATATTGAAAAGGGCAGATTATTATTTGTACATTGATATTAATTAGGGACACTATATCTTGTGTACATTCATATTCCCCAGAGAAAACATGTCTGTAGAAGAAATGTCAGTGCTTGTATGCTCACTGCTGTGAATTCTTTAACTGCTGATATGAAAATGCCTGTAACACGTACATGGCTGTATGTCTTCGATGGGGGTGGGTGGGGTTGGGTGGGGGTTCTTTCCCACCCACCCACCCACCCACTCCGATGATATCAAAGTTATCCATTGCTATATTTTAATCAATTGAACCAAAATGATATTTCCGTAAAATTAATTAAAAGGGTAATAACTCTTTGTTTAGGCCAAAAAATGAATTTGCCTGGAGTAAACAACAATTTTCCCATACTTACCAATGGTTAATGAATCCATTTTTACATGAAAAGTTAGTCCCTGGTTTTTTTCTAAAAAGTTTGTTTTTTTTTGTTAAAATCTCTTAAGAGATTTTAACAGAGTATAGCCATCAATAGAGGTCACGTGGTCTAAAGACAAGCTCAGATATCAAAATTATAGCTATAACTGCCGTTTTTGTGGTAAAACAGAATATATTATTTATAAGTTATTCACAATGTTTTTATTGTGAAATATAGATCTCATACGAAGAGTTATTATCCCTTTAATTAATCTTGGTCGAATTGTTTGGCATATTAGGTACCATAAATATGGAGTAGTAGCTATATTACAATATCCGTTTCTTAAGTATAAATGGGGAGCATATTCTCATTAACAGTTGCTGTGAAGTAGAAGATCGAGTAACAGCATCATGCCTGAAGTAATTTCTATGAAAATCATTTTCAGACGTTTTTTTTTTTTTTTTTCAGACAGAAATTGACATCATCTCAGACATAGACGAGTGGCAGACGTGGCCTGGCTACCTCATCCTAGCCTTCCGCATGTGTATCATGGCCTGGTTTATGTTTGAACTGCAGTCCAGCTTTGCCCTGGAGAGGGGTCAGGAGAAAACCAGGTTTTATCTCCACTTTGGAGCTGGCTTCTTGGTCTGGTTTATCTACCTGCCTATCTTAGTGCTCATAGGCTCACAACTTTCAGCTTTATGGAGGTTCAAAACCATGCTAAGTAAGTGTAGTTATAATATAGGAATATTTCAAAACTGTTTGTTTACATATGAAAAAAGGTATAGATGAATTAACTGAACAAAAGTATCACTTCTTTTAAATAAGTTTTCCAAAGTTGAAATCTGTGTTGAGGATTTTAAGGCACAATTATTATTATTATTATTATTATTATTATTTATCAGGTATAATGTATGGATCAGATTTCCTTGCCTTTGCCATATTGGTTCATTTGCTGTGGCCCACACGGAGTGCAATCTACTTCAACCTAGATAACAGGTTTAACAGGCGACAGTGGGACATGAATGAGCTGAAAATTACAGGTATTAGGGGAGAACTTGAGGTAGTTCATTTACATTATATTTCATTATATAACATTACATTTATATGTGGAATTTACAGAAAGTTGAAGTTTGTTAATAAAACTATAGGGGGGGAGACCCCCCCCATTTTGGCAGGAAAAGTCCTGTTCTGAATCAAAGTTTGATTAAGGTTCTATGCCATTTCTCATGTTGAGTCAGCAAGGAATTAGATATCTTATTCTTTGGGTCAACTAAGGGTGCAAAAAGGTCCACATTTTCAGAAATAGAACTCTTTAGAATTGCTGGCTACAGGCCTACACTGTCACCAATTGCTCAGCTTATTTTCAAGTTGTAAATGTACCATGTTTGTCTTGCACAGGGCTCCTCAGTGACTCTGAAGATGAAAACATCGAGATGTCTCGACTGGTCTCCGATTCTGAAGAATTACAGGATGAAAGAAAACCTAGTGGAAGAAGTTATAAGAATGGTTTCATTAGCCCCAGCTCTAGGGCTCTACTGGGAACTATGGAGGAATCGGAGATGTGAAAAAATGGTTATAAGGGAAAAAAGAATCTCTAGTTTATTTTTCACAGTAGTATTGTAGAATATTCATCGGTACCATATAAAAACTCTGTAATTTATTACTTAGACTTTATATATATTGAGGCATACTGTCTGGATATTTTGCTTTTCAAATAAACAGCAGTACAGGGCTTGTAGGTACAAATCTGCATTTATCATTGTGGACATATTTGCATATTTTAATAGTTGTTGCATTAATGCAAAATAGTTCTGTGCTCTCATTTAGAGAGCACATTTGACAAAGGATTCTTGCCTCCCAATAGTGCTGGCCCAGCAGAGGCAGAGCAATTAAATCTCGACACCTTTGCAAGAGGGTCTGGACATATTTAATCCATGGACTAGTTTGCCTACTGATCAACTAGTTCAGAATGCAGCCTTACATGACAATCATTACTTAAATATTTAGTTCATTATTAACTCCCCAGCCTCCTATACCCCTCACAAGTTATTGAAATGTTGGGTTCCAATTTTTAAAACTTCGAATTCTGTCATATTTCCAGATAATGTACAATCTCCAGAATTAATATGAAGCCCATATTTTCAGTGCTGCATTCCTTTCCTTTCATTATTTGGTTGTGTAACAGGAATACAGGTAGCCATACTGCCATTATTGTCTTGTATAAACATTATTATTATTATTATTATTATTATTATTGTATGGCTGTTTTGCTTTCTGTTGAATCCTTCATCCAAGAATATAATATTTCCTCAGTTGTGCATGAGAATATGCATGTGGTTATTGAAACTAGCTTGAATTTTATATGCAAATGTAGATTTGATTTCCCTGGGATGTTTTTTTTTTTTTTTTTTTCATTTTTCTTATGTTACATCTTTTTTAACTGTATAACTTTTTTTAAATTAAAATAGTAATTTGAGTTCATGTTTTAGCACCAGAGGCTGACTGGACTCCACGCTGAAAAGTGCAAGCAACTGCATGTGTGTGTGTGCGTGCATGTGTGTTACACAAAACCATTGTATTTTCCCATTTTCATTGGAAGGTGAAGCATATTGTTTCATGGAACAGAAGATATCAAGTTAGAGATATATTAACAAGTTCTCTAGAAAATGTAACAATGAGAGATATATTAACAAGTTCTCGAGAAAATGTAACAATGAAAGTGCAATTGTGTGGTATGAAGCTGTGAAAGTCATTTTTGGGAGAAATTCTGTTAGACTTGTTAGTGCAAATTTAACACAGCTCACATGTGTAAAGATGTACTGGTTGTGATATATATTGATAGCCCAAAAGCCATGTAGTTACATGCAATATATGGGTGCTTCAACGACAGGTGCTTGCATGTTGTTCATGTTTTGAAAAAGATTTCCATATAACCATAACTTATAAATGTCAAGAAAATAGTGAGTTGCTTAACCATATCCAGAAAGATGTGTGTCAGTTTGTCTGTCACATACAGTTGATGATAATAAACATTTACAGTTTACTTTGAAAGAAGTAGTGTTTGTAGTTGGTAAACATGCATGCATCTATCCATTTATCCTGGCAAACATGCTGAAAACTTTGAAAAACAACCAGGCAATCAGGCCGGCAGTTATAAAAAATTTCCCAGATTAAAGGACATTTGCCAGACTAACGGTAAACTCAACATTGTTGCTGGTCTCTTGGACTGACTGAACACAATTTTCTACCTGGTTTTTGAGAATATTTTTTTTCAGTCATGAGAGATGTCAACAGTGTCAGCATGCCCGCCATCTTGTCCAGTTATATATTAATGCTAACAGCAATGGATAGTTTATGTATACATTTGAATTTTATCTGCAAGTTAAGAATAATCTTTTTTTTTCCTCTGGTAATTATAATCTTATGTCAGTATAAATATTAATGTATGAATGCACACACAACACATACGTGTTTATGTGTACGTGTTTATGTATTATACATTGCCATATGTGCCATTGTATGTATAGATTCCATCATCTTTACAGCTGCAAGTTCTCAAAGAAATTTTCATCTCTTATAAATATCTCCATTATATATATCAAAACTTTTAAATTAGCCATAATTCCAAGTTCATAATTTAAGGTAGTTTCCATAATAATCTCAACATCTGATGGGGTTCAAGTTACATTCTATGATGGTATATGGTCATAAAAAAGTCCCGGTCCCCACCATCTAGTCAGTAATTCAGCTCTAGTTAAGGGAATATTTTGAAATAATTATTCAGTAACATCGAAGACGCCTTATATTTAACATTTCAATGGTTCAAAGGGAGAAGTAGTTTACTTTTATCCTAAAAGTACATGTATATCAGCCTCTGTTTTGTGAATTCATCATTAACTATAGGTATGTACAGTGCTAGTAGTGAATGATACAAAATTATTATAAGAAAAGAAATAAGATAAACAGCATTTAATTCTATCAATATGATAGTTTATATTTTGTGATGCATGACTTTATGTCTACAAGACAAAGGATAAACTCTTGTAAGACATATTGCATCAAATAGTGTTCATAATGCAGATTTTAAAAGACATGTTATATATATGTATTGATCTTTAAGAAGAAAGTTGTACAGACTGTGCATAGAAAAATCAGTCACAACCATTTCCAGCATGGCAAAGAAAAATAAAGCAAGAATTATGATACATGTAGCATTTTGAGTTTTCTGCATTTTCATTACATTACGCTGGATTTCTAGAAAAATATGTGAGCTCTCCGGCTTGCATATTGTGGTTGTCTGCTGACTGCAGTCCAATATCTGTTCCTTTGCATTAATAGTCTCTGAAATAACGTACCATATTTTAAGTTTACAGCATCTTGAAAGAGAGCTACAATTGCACTCGTTCTTACAGATTTTCTATTGTACAATGTATCTACTGGGCATCATTAACTATTAACTATTATGGTCAAGTCTTCTTTTTCTGCTTTTCATAGTTTTCCACACATGCCTTGAAAGCCTTCACTTGCTCCTGGCACTTTCTCCAATCTTTGGTATCAAACATACAATCCTGAAAGGAAATCAAAATTGCAGATTAATTCCCAAACATAATTAATATACAGTAGCAATCCAAATTACTAATATATCACAATTATATATATATATATATTAATGTTAAGATAGTTAAGTACCAATGTACAATTCCTTTTCCCAATGACATATGTTAAATTGAGGTACTTTCCTGACAAATGAACAGATTTAAGAATGTATTGAGCGCAGAGAGTAAGAAAGAGTTGTTCAAATAATGGCGCTTACGCAACATGGGTTTTCTGGTTACATAAATCCTAATTCACTTTTCTCTCTTTTTTAAAGGATCTAGACCATTTTCATAATAAAGCAGTTGACATAATGTACACTACGAATATTTATGCTAGCTTTGAATTTTAGTAACTAGTGATTCGTAATTATTGTGCCCAAACCCAATTCTGCTAGCTCACATTAGCTACAGTAGACTACAGTTGTTAACCAACGTAAACTTGCACGCGAAATAAGTCATATATTTAACAATAAACTTATAAAATGCATTATTGTTCTCTTACTTGGACCGCTAAATGTTTATCCATGCATCCCATCTCTTTTAATCTTTTGTCAACAAGATCGTCGTCCTCATCATCGTTATCTGAGACTGGTTTTCGTGAACGATCATGTCCCATGGGCGCAGCCATCTTTACATCGCTTATATCATAATAAAATACCAACAAAAGAATGTAGTAAACTAGCAATAAGAGACTTATACAAAATCAACAAAATCAAAATGGCACTTGAAAAAAATAGATTTTATATTTCTTAATTTTTTAATGATTTCAGTTACAGACAATATAATTCTGTTGTTGTTGTAAGCGGTTAGTTAATACAGACATGGGAACTTCAGCAAGAATTGTAATACAGCAGTGTCTTGCTGCTACTTTACGTCTTAACCCAGAGTCAGAAGTCAGTGAAGCTGAGTATGCGAAGGTATCGAAACTTTAAACTTCCAACCGTAAAACTTAATTTACTATATATAGACCCATCTTCTCAGTAGGTCATTTAATGTGCTTAAAATATTTACCCACTAATCTGCAAGTGCCTTACAATATTCAAATTGTATTTGCCTTACAGGAAGTTACAGTGCACATGTAGCTCCTCTTTTGTTTTATCTATCTATTTTTCCCCTAGAATGTTTTCTCCGTTTCTACCAATAATGTGTCTGCTTCATGACACATTATTGACTGTGACATTATAATTGAGGTATAATATACACAGCATTTTTACTTTAAAATTTCAATACTGAGTACATTTTTAAAGAAAAAATGCCTATTGATATATTTGTTCATTGTTTGTTTTATTTTTGTTCACAGATTAAACAGGGAATGGTTGTATTTGTGTGTTTCCTCAAAGGTGCCAATAGAGAACTAGTAGAAAAGATGGGTAAGTATTTATACCTACAATGTACATGGGCGTAACCAGGCATACGCACGGATGCACTGTGCGTACAATTTTTTGAGCCAACCATGATATTATTCTCCATAAATTCAGTGTATTTTTTATGGAATATAATCGTACCTGGGAATTTTCAAAATCTTTGCGTACAATTTTTAAAAGGTCTGGTTACGCCCCTGATGTATATACATAAACATGAAAATTAAGTCAGTTTGAATCTAGAATAAAGGAGATGATATTGATACACATACTAGTGATTGTTGTAATTTTTAAATTCTGTCCCTATTTATGAAAAAATGCACAATTTATATATATACATGCACATGTGCTTACACACACACGTGTATGAGCCATAAAACAGCTTTTGGTGTCACCTTAAACTAGCACAGTACAGATGGTAACAAACATCTACAGTACTTAGTATGTTTTCTACTATAGTTCATTATGGAAATTGGCATAGTTTTTAACAAGATAACACAGATGAGATTTCAGCTTCGAGAACTCTGTGTGACTTATGGTATATTGTGAATACAGTTTGTTTTGTAGTGATTCACTAATTAATTATATTTATTTTTACCTGAGGAACATTTGTTATAAAAGTCATCTCATTATTATAGAAGATAAATTATATATTAACCATGATTTTTCCTCAATAAATAAGGTTTAATGAACAAAATGAATTAAAATTATTTATTTTCAGTCAAACAAGTTCTTGGTATCAAGCTGTGTGAAGGAAAAGATGGAAAACTAACCTCTATCACAGACCTTCCAGGAGATTTACTAATCATCCCTCAAGCTTGTCTTGGTGGTAAACTGAAAGGAAAGTCTGTCCAGTACCACTCTATCATAAATAAGACTGATGGCAGTGACCTCTATAGGACTTTTGTTGAACTATGCACAGACTCTTTTCAACAGACCAGTGCCATGCAGGAGGCAGGGTGTGTAGTAAAAAGTGGAGTGTATGGAAATAGACAGGTGCTAAATATGGAAACTAATGGACCTTTTACACATATTGTTGACTTTTAAATAAAACTTCAGTTATGAGTTATTTTTGTTTTTAATATTTTCTCTTTCATATATTATATGCAAAGAATATTGTCCTACCAAGTAATACAATGTACTTAATAAAAGTTATTGTCATCATGAATCAAACACAACCAGTGTGATGTAAAGGTCTGTGTTTGCGGAATGTTGCAACCTTCATCTGATGACGTCTGGGTTTATAATACAACACCTGGAATACTTGTCTTCATAATCAGACATTTTTTATAACTTTACATGCAGGCCGTGTAAAAGCGTTTGTTGTCACAGACAACTAGGACAAGGAGACATGGATTCCATTTGTTAGTATTTGGACTTGTTCTGTTGGTTTTTCTCTTACCCAGGGGCAGATCCAGAGATATTTTCTGACAGTCTTCCAAATTATCTTTGTTGATCTATCCTCCATTTTTGACAGTCTTCCAACAGAAATAAATTGGATACCTGTCAATGTAAATCAATCTGCCCATGTTACCTGTGGCCACATAGGAGTCACCCTGTTAAAGGTGGCAGATATTGTATCCAGTGGTGTTGAGGAAGACATTACCAGGGGCGGATTGAGGCTGTCTTCTGGGTCTTCTGGAAGACGGTCAGAATTTCAAGTTTACATTGACAGGTATCTAATTTTTTGCTGTCGGAAGACGGTCAAAAATGGAGGATGGATCAACAAAGATCATTTGGAAGACTGTCAGAAAATATCTCTGGATCCACCCCTGATTACAGCTAGCACCTGCAGGTTCTGCAATTGAGCAAGACCAAAAGGTGTCTCTGTAGATCTATCGTTATTGGCAGATCTGCCCATAAGGAAAAATGAAGGTAGCTCATTACAGTCAAGTTTTTATTTGCAATAAACAATAAAGGCTATATTTTCAATCTTGCATTTACTGTACACAGAAATTGGCAGACAAATAAATAATTTACACATGGTATTTGAATGATTTGGCATTCATGTTCATCAGTTATAATTGAATTTCTCTTTTTCTTTGCTCCACAGGCTGTAATATCAAAATATAAAGTACATATACATAGATGTTATAGAAATGGAATGGATAAAAAGTTAAAGTTTCATAATATTTGGTTCACCATATATACATGGTTGGGGTCCTGTTCATATGAGAAGCTTGACATTCTGTGTGAAATTGTCTGTTATTGTATGGCTTCATAAAAGCTTTGTATTTTCATTTACCTCAACTTATTCACCATATTCATATGAATTCACCAGATGTTTTGTCTTTAAGTGGTCTCCACATGAATTCATAACAATATCTCCCTAATGTAACCATGGGATTTCCACGTTTTTTTTGTTTTTTTTTTTCATTACAGATGTTAAAACCTGCATATTAAAGTAATATCAAGGTGTTCACAACAGTGGCTAGATTTAAATACAAAGAACTGGCTTTTTGTCAGTCAGCGTAACGACCACGAAATGACTTACATTGCAATTAAAAATTAAGTCCTAAGTTGATCAGTTTTCCTATTTTAAGTCTCAAGTTATCATGCCTGAGCAACGAAACAAATGTAAGACTGATCCTCAACAACTTTGACAGATGCTCCGCTAGGAATAGTCGACTATGTACGTGACATTCTTAATGAAAATAGAAATACTTTTGAGATTTGACATTTCAATGTCTCCAAACGATAATTGCAACTGACTGTCCGCTTTTTGAGACAGGAGATTGCCTTCACCTTTGTTAACTCGATGCTTCCGTTGACAAGAAGATAGAAACAGAACACATCTCTCTCGATGCCGTTGCAGTAGGTATTTTTGGTCGTGTGATAAATCATGTTGTCTGGTTCCTTGTGAGAGAGACCGTAGTTAAATTCTCACTGCTGACAAGACAACGCACTTGCTGTTTATTTATTTATTATAATTTTTATTATTATTATTTATTTTTTTTTTTTTGGGGGGGGGGAAGTATAAATAGGCGTATATACTGTTACCCATGTAAATATATTTTGGCGAAAGTAAAACACCAAAACGCCAAAAAGTTTTGGAACCTACCCCATGCAAAGAGGGCAATTGTCGGCTTCGCATCCAAGGCCTGTCATTCCTAAAAAAACTGACCACAAAATAATATAACTTTACTATGGACGCAGACGTGTACTTGTTGCTGCAGAACTGTGATGTTTGTGCTATAGATTATCTAGAATACTGAATAAGTGAGTTACAAAAATATTTATATTTTGAATTCCGTGTTACAAATTTGCATATTTTCCTTCTTAAAGACCACAAAGAGCGATTTATAAAATACTCTTATGCAGAAAATAGCGTTAAAGAAAAAAACTGATGTGAGTAGATTACATTTTGAATCATAATTACATAATAAGCTTAAATTTTCCCATCTCAAAGCAGTTTAATTAAGCAGTTATAATTCACTGATACTACTATACCACCGGTATATAAGTATGTGAATATTATATTCTGTATTACAGAACAATGTATGTCTAATGTCACGTGAAGGAATATTCCACATTACGTGTCACTCATTACAAAAGCAGTGCGGAGATATATATAATCATATCCCAAAGCCCTGATGCACGCCAAGTCATAAGGAAATAATTGTTATCGATTGGTAGCACGTAGAGCTGTAAATGAAAAGAAAAATTACGAATGTGATAAATAATTCTGATCACGAAACAAAAAAGAAAAAATAAGGAGGAAAAGTGTTACAAAAGATGAATGACGTGTAATTAAAAAGCTTTAACTGTCCAGTTCTTTGTGTATAAATACAGCGTCAATCTGTTATCACAAACATAGCCTACATTATTCAAGAGAAGACCTCCCATGTCAACGGACACCCTGTATAAAATATGTTGTAATGATATCTTTGAAATTTGCAAATCAAAGTGCAATATTTATGTTAATCCACACGCAAATTAAAATGCATTAAGAGAGTAAGCCAAAAACTATTAAGGGGTTTATGAATCGTAATTCCCTTAACGCCTGTAATACAGTATATATAATATGACCTTGGTGAGTGAAGGAAAGGTGGTAAGAGTTCTAGGAAAACTGACTTTTGACATTTAAATGTCCATCTGATAATTATGTACCTTTAAAATAGGCCTAATTGTATTCTTTCTGGCACCATTACAGTTTTAGATGTTGTATTTAGCACGTTGATCAATCACCTAAGACGCTTCGTGTACATAACACAGCCGTTAATTGGATTGTATCAATGTTTTTTTCTTAAGCCTTTTGCTCACAGCGACAAAACAAAGCGTACAAGACAGAAAGAACTGTCGCAGTATGAAGACTGCGTCTATAAGGAATAAGCTGTGTCACGGTATAAATATAGCTGATATTCTGTTCAGCGTTTGACAATGGCTGAAAACAACAAAGCGTGCAACAAGATCGGTTGCTAAGCGACGAAGTCCGGTAAATAGTTGTAGCAATATCGTCTTCATATAAACGAGGAGGAGACTACACCAGATTGTCTTACCTGCCACGCCTAAGTCTCTTTGCAAGACGCCAATCTAAAAACGAAACAAATGGCGGTGGAGCTACATGTATTCAGGGAACGAAGGCTGGGGAATATTTAATCAGAAGACAATGTTTAGAACCATTTTGGTGTTGTATTGTACCATCAGCCTGTCAACTGACGTCTTTTCAAGTGAGTGAAAAGAACACATTTTTTGCATGGCAGTTTGCCATTGTCATTGGCATTGCACAATGATACTGTGCTTGCATGTGGCATATTAAGTATTGTTTTTTGCTTGGCAGTTTGCCATTGTCATTGTCATTGCAAAATGACACTGTTCTTGTATGTGGCATATTTGGTACTGTTTTTGTTATAGATCTGTCAAATGTATACAATGGCGGCCTCTACTTATATCATTAATAAATCTGACATATTGGTGTGTGTAAGTGAAGTCATGATGCACGTGCTGTTAAATCTGCGTGTGTCACTGTACAGTGAGCGTGAAAATGTTACTTTATCTATTTATTTGTTTGCGTCTTAATACGTGCAAATCTGGTGGGGAGCCAGTTCTAGACTGGTAGATATATATAAAACTGCTTAGAAAAATCAATAGAAAAATTTAGTTGTTGAACGGGAAACTGACATTACACGCTGCTTGTGGCAAGGTAGCTTTGTTTTCATATTTGATGTACATGTATTATATACGGTTATATGTGAAACATTTTGTGGTAAAGCTTATAATAAAACACGCGGAGAAAGCAACCTGAAGTCTGTCAGATGAGCTGACTGATATACAGATGAGAAATTGTTGACATGCGTATTGATTTCTTTGGCAAAGAAAATGTTCAACAGGTCTTCATTTATTAAATGCATAGCGTATCTCTCATTATTCATATTCTGTCCAGCGTTCCGACATTTATCATTTTAAAGCAAATTGTCTTACCACGTTTAAAAATACCAAATACCATTTGAAAGACCGGAACTTAAGCAACGAATTGACAATATATTCTCTGTGTCTTAGATCCTATTCCCATAGATTTTAGATCGATCTATCCATGTGGGGAGTCTCACTAGATTACTGTCAGCTTAGCCGACTTAAGCGTCTGTCCCGCCTACTAAAAGCAGTAAGGGGGTAATTAACTATGGTGCGCGCTCGGCTGACTGCAATTTAGCGTGAACTCCCAGGGAGTTAGGTCGATCTAAATCTAAATCTCTGGATCGATCTAATTCTCTGGGAATGCACCCTTACTCACGCAGTTATACGTGCTGTGAATCATACATTTTACAAATTCAAGACAGAGTCCATTAATCATAAATCCTATCCTATCGAAATGTCAGATAATCCAAGTATCAAATGTCAGTCATTTGACATTCAAGACAAAAAAACGCGAGTCAGAGTCTTTATTTAGCAGAAAATGAATTATCCTATCCAAGATCGTTAAGAAAAAGAACACGTATGTTTGGATTTGAACGATTTTAATTACAACATCGGAATTACACGTACCACCAAAATGAATATAGTCAAATATAATCTTCTTAAAGATCCATATTTCCATAAAAATCCATAAAAGTCAATTTTGCCGCAAAAGCCGACCAAATGCCAGCATATAGTTGCAACGAGTATGACTGAAAGAATTACCAAAAGACACCGTTTAATATTACCCAAAAATTATATTTGAACGGATTTTGCTGCAAGCCATCTATGCTGTATATAAATGGGGCAGATAAGTAGGTTAAATTTACGACCGGGAATTTGAAGAAAGGAGCAGTTTAAAGATTTTTTATGGTTGAGTGATTTATTTAGTTTATCCCTTGGCATGTCGAATTTATTTGAGTCGTATAAGAAACAAGTGAAAGCGGTTAATATGCATTACTGGGAATCAACGCTCCACGCTTCATGTGCACCTTTAGATTTCGCTACAAAACTTTCCGTATACAATAGTCTAACGCACGGTGTTTATCTTAAGGCAATTTTTTTATTGAAGATTAAATGAAAATTAAAAATAAGCCTTATATCCTGATATAATTCGGGTCGGTCGTAATGCAGTTATCTAATACGCAGGTTTTGTGCATAAAGACTTTCTTCTTTACATGTGTCACATGTCATATGTATATATGTATTACCTGGGAGGTGTAAATTGTTATAATCAGTGCTCTTTATTCCATATCTTATGGCTCAGAAAATACAAA